TTTATGGCTGCCAAAAGGGAAGCTGGTCCCTTCAATTCAAAGTGCAACAAGGACTGTTTCTTTTGGGGGGGGGTGGCAAGAAGCTGATAACAATGAGTGCTAAGAAAATATAACTATGCAAAACAATAAGTAAAGTTTACTTGGATAATAAAGGACTGTTCTAAAGAACAAAGAAAATAACTGGTGATTTTGATTCCTCAGAAATCCAAGTTTTCTCTATTAAATCAAATTAATAAAAGGGACATTCTATGTATAATTGACCAGACACTTGTAGTAAATGTAATTGTAAGTAATGTTATCCTTAATAAAATATTCATGTTAATTCATATCAGAAATCATGAAAACTTAAAATAAAAAAAGACATTTTACAAATGATAAATGTGAATTCTAAAATATAGCAAGAAATTCTGTGAAAATGTTTATAACCACTCATTTATAGCAATACTCTTAATAATTTTTATTTATTTTTTGAGACAGGGCCTCCAACGTACCATATAGTTCAAGCTGGTTGATCTTAAACTATTGATCCTCCTGCCTCCACCTTCCACTTGCTGAGATTAGAGTCCACTGCAACTCCTTGTCTATGCTATGATAGGGATGAAACCCAGGCTTCACTGGGCCTCACAGGCTCTGTAACTCCTAATTCTGGCCTTCTGATGTTTATATGTTGATTTTTATTTAAATCCATGTAAGTCTATGCTTGGACAAGAGTTGTTCTTTGCTTTTGTTTAAGTTTGGGATATAGGTGGCCTTAAATTTTTTTCTTACATTTTTTTCATTACAAATTATTGGTTATGTCTTATGCTAAATAACAGGTAGTTATATGGTTCAGTAAGATCTGCTGATCTTAGTTTGAGTAAGAATCCCTTTTGCACCATTTTAGAGATCTTTCAGGGGAGACTGAATGACAGAGATACTGTAAAAAACTGTTATGACTGCCAATTCAGGAAATTTCATCAGGCCTGATGTATGCACATATAATGACCACCAGGTGGCAGTATAAGACAGCCACAAAACCCGTACTGATTTCTAGCACTGCATTCCTACAATAACACTTCAACTGGGAAAAGTATCCGGGCGGTGGTGGCAGATTGAGCAGAATATTCTATATTCCAGGAATTAAAAAAAAATTATACTAAAATAGCCCAGGCATTGGAGTTTTGAAAAATGCTGTTGGAAAAGGTTTGTTTTGCTGGGCAGTAGCGTTGTGTGCCTTTAATCCCAGCATTTGGGAACTCTGTGAGTTCAAGGCCAGCCTGGTCTATAGAGCGAGTTCCAGGATAGCTAGGGCTGCACGGAGAAACCCTGTCTCAAAAAACAAACAAAAATTGTTTTATTTTTCCTTATTCATTTAAATTTTAATTTAATTATGTGTGTGTGTGTGTGTGTGTGTGTGTGTGTGTGTGTGTGTGTGTGTGTGTGTGTGTTGGGGCATGTGTATGTGTATGCCAAGGTCTGCCTATGGTGGTCAGAGGACTACTTGTGGAAGGCTGTTCTCTTTTTCCATGATGCTGGTTCCAGGGATTGAACTCAGATCATCTGGCTTGGCAGCAAACACCTTCACCCACTGAGCCATCTTGATAGCCAAGACTTGTTT